GAATTTCTACTCCCTTTATATTGTATTCGACATTTGTACGCTAAATTCCCAATATAAAGATTAATAAATAAAAAAAGAAGTGATTTGGAGCATTATTGGTTAAAAGGACAGTGTTAGATGGAGTGAAGAAGTTCATGGACCAAAATTTACTCAACTGGAATCTGAAGGACTAAAACGGACGAAATTGAAAGTTCAAAGACAAATTACCGACCTCTGGAAACTTGAGACCTTGCGCAGAAGGTGCCAAGTTAGTAGGGGCATGCAGGCAATTATTTGCAAGTTGCTCTCAGTAATTGTGCAGTGGCCCATAGCCCGTACACGCCACATTAAAAAAGAAAAAAAAAAGTGGGTATTTGCATTTAGCAATGGAAAATCAAGCATTAGGGAGAATCACCAGCATATTAGGCAGAATCAGAATTTTATAAGAAAAACACAAAAAAATCATTTTTCTTGGAAGATATCAAGGAGATGGCTCAAGGAATTATTGAAGATTTTAGGTTTCTCAAGGTTGATTTATTCCATTTTCTTGATCTATTCATATTTTAATTTATTAGTTTGGGATTTTATTTATTTATTATTATCTTTTTTAATTGTGTTCAATTGAAGTGATTGATTTATGTTCATATTTGAGAATGTGAGTCGAATCACATCATATTCGCTATCACGTTAGATCAAGAAATTGCACGTTGCCATCAATCATTGCTTTCACATATTCATTGTTAAATTATAAGATTTTTACTCGTTCACCTCGTTGTCCGAAGATCTTTTGCATTACTTTTATCAAACTATTAATAAGAGTGAAAAGTTTGAAATTTAGGAATATGTTAATTAGTACTCGAGAGACGAACGTTAAAATTTTATCTTAAATTTATTGACTGACAAACCAAAGGCTGAACCTAAATACATTGAGGGTCTGTTTGGACCGGATTAAAATCTGATTTTAATCTAAGTTAAAGTCAAACAATCAATATTAACTACATCTTTCATGGGTCCCACATCTTTTTAACCACACATTTCAAAAACTTTTATCACAATCCAATAAAAATCTAATTTTAATCCCCATCAAACACCCTCTGAATATCGACAGTGTTACTTAATGAAACCAGGATTCCTAAATATTTCCTTAATTTATTACTACCTCGTTACTGTTACCTTTTTATTAAGCTGCTCATTTTAGTTAATGTTGTGAAACGAAGATGATGTTAGATTCCTCTTATACCAATTTATTGAAGAAAATATGAGATTATATGTTTGATATGAAATAAAGATCACAAAACACAAAAAGAATATAATTTGTAGAGAATAGAGATTTTATTATAATATGGAGCAAAAAAATACAAAGATTGATGTTTACATTGTTTCTAACTTTATCTAAATTATAATGAAGAGTCAACTATATATAAGAAATAAATAAGGAATGTCCAATCTCTAATAATAGAGTTGTACTTGAGTAAAATGCAAGAAAACTTGTCAAAAATACAAAAATGGACCTAGATCAAAAATAGAGTTGCTCGAGCGAGCGGCTAGCGCTAGGCTAGTGGCGGCCTAGCTCTTGAGAGGTAGGCTAGTGCTAGGCGAGCTCTAGCTTCTCTGCTTTTATTGCTCGAGTGCCCAGCTAATCTTAGGCTAGCGAAAATGCGACGAGAAAATCCTCAGTTCCATAATTTCAATATTTTCAAGTTCAAAACAAAAATTTTAACTCCCCATAAGGCTTCCAAATAGAATTTTAACTAAAATTTACCAAGTAAACTTGAATAAAAATTCACAACGGCATTTCAAATAGAGTTCCTCTTAAAGTATACTTTAATTAGAATTCTTAATTATCTTCAACAAAAAATTCGGGTCACACACAAATTCTATTAATCTCCACATTGACACGAATTCCACTACAATAAGTAAACTTCAAAAATTATCCACCGGAAACAAATTCCACTACAAAATAAACTTGAACTCTTAAATGAAAAACACAAACAAATTTTTCCATCAAAAGTTTTCAAGTGAAAATATTCTCCACGTTAGCTACCCCAACTAAGGGCAAAAGTGATCTAATGACTACCAAATAAGGCTTAAACAAGTCTTGTAACAAAATCACAATTAAATGCATCAAAAGAAGGATTTTGGCTAGAATCAATTTCCTTAACCACATTCAAACCATCAACTAAATCAGTAGAATTGTACATATGTGGAGCCTTATGGCCAAAAATGGGTATGTTACTAGCAACTGAATATAATGACACCGTCCATGATGGTGGTAAGACAAATTTACCAATAACTTTTAAATGCAACTAAGATGTATTCTTTAAGGAAGATCTCAAATTAGACTCCAATAGTACAAAATCCTACTCCAAATCCACATGAGTTTTTAAAATATACTGATCGCTAAAATATTTTGTATAATAGTGCAAGATATATATAAATGAACTTTTTTATGTCCCTTTATCAAAACACGGGTTCCTTTATTAACCTTTAGAGCTCCATGTTCAATAGTATACATGTACCATTTTGAATGAAAAGTACTTAAGAAAATAAGATTTCTCTTTAGAACGGAACGTGTTTCACTGTATCAAGTGTTCTAACCATCCCATCAAATATCTTTATTCTAACCCAGCCAATACCAACTATCTAACAACATGTGTTATTATCGATCATCAAAACAGCTTTTGAAACTTCTTCATATATTGAAAACAAACTCCAATTGAGAGACATATGAAAAGAGCACGCTGTATCGAGAATCCAAGCCTCGTTGGCTTGGAGTTATAGTCAGACATAAGTAAAAGCTTTCCATCACTAGTAGGATTTTCTGCAATACTCGTTTTCCCTGAAGTTTCTAATTGTTGATTTGCAGTCAATTTTATTTTATTTTGCAACTTATAACAATTGTTTTTCAAATGTCCATTTATCTTGCAATAATTACAAAATTTGAAATTAGATTTTGACTTGCCTTTTGCAAGACTACCATCTACAATGAAATCATCTCCATAATCCACAAATGCTACAAGATACTTCATCTTCTTCTTTGAATATAGAACATCATAGAATTCTTCGATGGTGAAAGTATCACGACTATATAAAATCGTGTATCTAGAAGACATGTATAAAATGGGCAATGAAAACAATAAAATCAATCCAAAATCTTTTTCATCATATTTGACCTCTAAGATCTCCAAATCACCGACGATTTCCTTAAAAGCAATTAGGTGATCTTCAAGAGATGTACATTTTTGTCATATGATGAGAATATAGAAGTTGCTCCAGAAGCAATTTACTAGTAAGACTCTTCGTCAAGTATAATTGCTCTAATTTTAACCATAATGCAGCGGCTGACTTCTCCTTCAAACGTCCTGAAGAATATTATTTGAAAAATGAAGATATATTTGAGATAGCGCTCTTTAATTAGAATTCCTCATTATGTTCAACAAAGAATTCGAGTCACACCCAAACTCTAACGTTTAATAATTGAAAAAATCAATCTCAAAGCTAGATTCTTAAACCTGTGTGTTCTATTATGGTTAGTTTTAATTAAGTGTGATATTGTTTACTAGTTGGGATAATTTCGCAACAATATGTATACACACAATTATTCAATTAATGTCTAATGACATCTTGACCGAATTTCATTTGGGAGTGTCAACCGGATTATCCTTTCAATTTATCCGAGCAACATTAGAGATTATTACTCTTATTTAGAAAAGTGAAACATTTTTGAAACATTTCCGTCAGTTTTTAACATAATTTGAGCTCTATGGAGCATGGACCATTTAATTGCACTCACAAATTTTGGGAAGAAAGAAAAGAATAAATTAAAAAAAAACCTCATAATATTCACTTCCTTATATTAATCCACCTTTCTCTTGTCCTTAGTCATAGCATAATTAAAAATATATAATTAAAATCTTGTTTATTATAATGTCTAGTCATATTTAGTGTATTTCATATGTTGGTGATTAAATTATAATTAAGTGATTATAAGCTATGAATTCTATGAAGTGTGTAGATAAGAAGTGGATAACAGTTGTGGGCCATACCAAACCAAGCTCGATTTGCTTCAAATTCCCACAATGTCTTCCTTGATAAAGGTGACGCGTATCTTGAGGCCTCTTCAAGCTCGACCGAAATCGAGCATATCTTAAGACACATGCTACAAAAGGTTTAGGAGGCGGACGTCTGTGTATGATAAAAAATATGTTTTAACTTATTATAATTTAATCACTAATCAAGCATTTCATTAATTAACTACATACAGTGTCAAATTTTCATCACATAAAGTATTCATAAATACATACAAAATGTAGGCAAGTAAACTTAAAGTACCATAAAGTTAAAGTACGCTGACACAAATTTAGTTACGAGGTACAATAGTTAGACAAGAAGCTGCATTCTCATTTTTCCTTCAATCAATGTTGGACATAGTAAATTCTCATTGTCACACATACTGTAAATTCTTCTTTTTAACGCGATCACTGAAAAATGATGAATTCAAGTCACAATGTCACCATTTTATGAAGATTGTATATATGATATTTGATTCAAAAATCTGATTTGTGAATTTTTTCGTCATTAATCGACGGCTTGACGTACAAAAATGTCTATAGAGTCTATGTTTATATAAATTTACGGCATCGTGAACTCTATAATAGAGTATGGTGAATGGCCTCCAAAACTAAAAAAGTAGGCTAATTGAATGTTACACATTGGCGTTGTTATCAATTTCCAACTACTTGGACCATTTCTCTCTCAACCACATAATATTTTCATTACAAAACCACCCCAACAATCCCATGTTTCTCATTTCCTTTTAAATTCTTCCTTCTCATTTGAAAACGTAACAAGGTCACACAGAATAACCCATTATCGATCCCCTCCTCTCTTTCTCTTTAATGGCTGCTCATCGCAATTTTGAACCAATAACGAAATGTAAGTCTGAGGGAAGGTCGAATCAAACCGTGGCAGCTGACCTAGATGGTACACTTTTGGTCTCTAGAAGTGCATTTCCATACTTCATGCTGGTAGCTTTAGAAGCTGGTAATCTTCTCCGGGCGTTAGTCCTTCTTGCGTCCGTCCCATTCGTGTATTTTGTGTACTTGTTCGTTTCAGAATCCATTGCCATTCAAACTTTCATTTTCATCGCCTGTTCGGGTTTGAAAATTCGAGATATTGAGCTTGTTTCTAGGTCTGTTTTGCCTAAATTCTATGCTGAAGATGTCCACCCGGAGACTTGGAGAGTGTTCAATTCTTTTGGCAAGAGATATGTAGTTACTGCAAACCCTAGAATCATGGTGGAACACTTCGTGAAGAACTTTTTGGGGGCTGATGAGGTTCTTGGGACAGAATTGGAAATATCAAAATCTGGACGTGCAACAGGGTTTGTTAAAAAACCTGGTGTTCTTGTTGGTGAACACAAAAAAATGGCAATTTTAAATGAATTTGGTACTAACGTACCGGATTTAGGTCTCGGCGATAGAGACACTGATCATGGCTTCATGTCGATATGCAAGGTATATTCAACCTTTAGTAGTCTTTAGCTTCAAAAAATTTGACAAGAACCATTGATGGGTTCAAGACATTGGAGAGTGTTTGATCATATATAGTACTTCATATCAAATAAGTCCCTTATATAATTTATAAAAAGTTGGCAAAAGACTCATTCTTATTATATTTTCACTCACTAATTAATTGCATGTACTTCGACAAGCTTTTCATATATAATTGAGTGTTCGTATTGTTTATACTTTGTCTTGTTATTGTCGTGAAAATGATATTTTTCTAGGCATGAAAAGGAGGCTTTTTTCTTACCATCACGCGATAAACATAACACGAGCATTTCGCGCCCAACATTTGCTTACTTGATTTCTATCTCATGAAAAAAAAGGTCATGGTTAATTGCCTTTTCACTTCCCCTCCTACCACCATGAAATTGGAAACAGGTCATTGAATTCGAGTGATATTTGGCTCATTTTCCTTACGTACCTAAATCAAGAAAATTCCAAAACTAACTCGAAAACATTCATAATATTTTAGCCTCCAAAGAATAGAATTGCAGTTTCATGCATATCTAATGTTAGGTGCTTCATTTACTTCAGCACAGGTTTGATACAAACATCAACCCCACTCTACCCTACCCTGCCACTCACCTTGCTTATATATTCTTGTTTGGTTTATATGAAAATTAGATTTTTAATAGATTTTAATAAAAATTGATGAAATATGTGGTTAAAAGATTGTGGATTTCATGAAATGCGTTATTCAAATTAATTGTTTACCCTAACTTAGAATTTAATCAAATTTTTAGCTGAGCCCATGTTTGAGCTACATTAAAATTTTCATTTTCATTTTTCTACTCATTTTCATCNATCCTTACATTTTCAACTACACATTCTTCAATAAAATAATATTTTTCAACGCATCAATAACTTTTTCTTCTTTCCCAACCTCACTTTTTCATCAATCTACTGTTCTAAAATACATTTTTCTAAAATAATGTGGCTCAAACACACCCTGAATCAAACGGTGGCATATATATAGTTTTGACAACGCATATACATATGACATGATTGTATATAAAAAATGCCTAGGCTTGAAATTAGTTGGGGCAGAATTTAATTATATATATAAAAAATTCTCACACAAAATATAATATTGAAAGTAAAAAATAAGAAAATATTTCAGATTTTAGTGTAGGTCATAACATATATTAGGTTGCCATATAATACTTCATTCCTATAGAAAAGATAGTAGGACAAGTTTTTATTCATAAACATATTGTAATCTTTCTTCGTCGCTATAATGAAAGCGCCACTCTAAATCGTGTATTTTTTTACTGCTTTTGATTTTCACTGTTTCATATTATTATTGCTCTCGATAGTACATGATAAGGCGCATAATATATACGTGTTTTAATTGCTAAATATTGTAATATTTGCAGGAAGCATATATGGTGCCTAGAACAAGATGTGAACCCTTAACAAGAAACAAGCTTCTATCACCAATAATTTTCCACGAGGGTCGTCTAGCACAAAGACCTACACCTCTTGTCGCACTAATGACCTTCTTATGGATGCCAATAGGCATAATTCTCTCTTTAATTAGAATATATCTCAACATCTACCTACCAGAGAAAGTTGTTCAATACAATTATAAATTCCTCGGAATTAAGCTTATTGTCAAGGGCACCCCTCCGCCGCCGCCTAAGGATGGCAAAAGCGGCGTCCTCTTCATCTGCAACCACCGGACCATCCTCGACCCCGTTGTCCTCGCAGTTGCACTGGGGAGGAAAGTCAGCTGTGTCACTTATAGCATAAGTAAATTCTCAGAAATGATTTCACCAATTAAAGCAGTTGCATTATCAAGGGAAAGAGAAAAAGATGCAGCACAAATTAAAACCCTACTTCAAGAAGGTGACCTTGTGATATGTCCTGAGGGTACTACTTGTAGGGAGCCATTTCTCTTAAGATTCAGTGCATTATTTGCAGAACTTACAGACAGAATCGTGCCTGTGGCGATTAACGTTAAACAAAGCGTGTTTTATGGAACATCGGCTCGAGGGCACAAAATTTTTGATCCATATTTTGTGTACATGAACCCTAGGCCTGTTTATGAGATTACTTTCTTGAAGCAATTGCCACCTGAACTCACTTGCAAAGGTGGAAAATCTGCCATTGAAGTTGCAAATTACATTCAAAGGGTGTTGGGTGGGACATTAGGGTTTGAGTGTACTAATTTGACTAGGAGGGACAAGTATAATATGATAGCTGGAACAGATGGAAGTGTCCAATCCAAGAAGGAGAAGTCTGAAGATGAAAAAAAGTAATTAACTCCACTGATTCTCTGGGAAAAAAAAATATTAATTATTTATAATTTTATGCATGGAATTGGATTTACTGATGGAGGATCCACAATCAATAAATAAATTAGTTGATATGTATATTGGTTTTTTGAAATTTTATTGTACTATGATATGTAGTAAGAATACAATAAGTAGGATTTCCATATATCGAAATTGTTCTCCTATCCAGATTTTCATATATCGAAATTGTTTTGCTGTCCACAGTGAGTACGAGAAGACTGCCCACTTGTTGAGAATCGTAAGTACGACTTTCTCCAAATGGATAAGATAAGATTTCTCACTATAGATAAGAGAACATATATAGTCTTGTTCTTAAATCTATATAATTAAATAAAGTTGCTTAAATTTGAGATAAATCATTATTCTCCATTCCATTGAACCCTATATCTACTGTGAAGATTCAACATAATAAGTTCATTGTACAACCACAACAAAGTTATTTTAATTTTGTAATGTACCTATCGTTTGTGTGTCATATATTGGGATCACATTAGCGAGAAAACGGGATTTATCATAACCACTCAATCACGTCGTTCTCATTCTTAGATCTTTCTATCACATCAAAATCATAAAATTGAAACAAAAATACCTAGTGTGTGTTTGGTAGGGATTTTTTGGAGGAAGAATTGATTTTGAATAGTGATATGATGATAAATGTGTGGTTGAAAAAGAAGAAAAAATTATTGATGTGATAGAAAATATTATTTTATTGAAGAATGTGTGATTGAAAATGAGAATTGATTTACTGAAAAAAATCAAAATTCATACCAAACAGGCCCTTGATGAGAAATGTGTGGTTGAAAAAGAAAATAGGATTATTGATGTGATAGAAAATATTATTTTATTGAAGAATGTGTGGTTGAAAATGAGAATTGATTTACTGTTGAAAATGAGAATTGGTACCAAACATAGCCCTATATACACCAAATGAAAAAAAAAAGAAAAAGAAAGAAGAGAAAGAATATAATAAGAATCTAATCAGGCTATCACTATTCTTCAACATCAGCTCAGCTGCTCATTCACACAATTAACTGTATACTTTTAAGAGCTTTGATGAAGCCCACGTGGTTTGACAGCTATGATTTTCATCACCAGCCATAAATTTCTAATCTTCAATGGCGATTCTAGTGGCCGAAAGTTTCTGCATTAAATCATTGATTAGGGTATTGTACCACTTCTACTGTAGAGTTGGATTAGCAATTAAATAATATACCTTTTTTCTAAACAACTAATTATATCCTATGTTGATGTACAAGAAAAATTATGTTATCTTTTACATACATTTGCCTTGCGTCAGATGATACTGCTCCTTCAATAAGTAATTATTTTAAGTTTACCAGATATTTAAAATAATTATGCTTATTTGATAATTAGAAGTTGAAACTCAAAAACCAAATCCAAACGAAGCTTAAGCACTTGTAATAATAGTAAAAATTGCTAAAGAAATTAATTTCAAATATCAACCTACACATACTAAAATCCACCATTAAGCTTTTTCCCTTATGATCTCTTCACATAAATGTCCAAATACTGAACATTTTCCCATTTCTCATTTATGCCTCTTTGTAAACAAGGTCATGGCTGCCCCAGCCCGAGAGTTTATGGTCAGGAAAAGTGTTAGTTGCTACTTCAAGATCTTTAAAGTTGAATTCTTCGATTTCGATGGGCTAGGCTAAGGCTAGGTGGATTATAAGGTGGTGCTGGTGAGGTGTAAAAAGATAAAGTTCATGATAATGAAGATAAAAGAAAGAAGATAGACTATTGATGTTTGATGTCCGGTAAGATGCAAATTTATTCAACACATGAAGAGCCAAAAAGCTCGTAAAACCTTTACAAATCAAGAAATATAAATGACACAAATTCACTGAAGAAAATTAGATAGCAAATCGACAAGCTTTCCCCACATGGGGCCCACTACAAATTTGTCTCAAACACGGCAATAGGGCTCCTAACGGAATGTTTAGACGACTTCCATAAAAGATATCCTTGAGAATTGGTAGTGTTAGAAGCATTGTCTAATCTTCTAAATGTAACTTCATATGTCAACTTCTGGTTCAAATTTGAGAAATTGAGAGTAGGAGGTTTGACAGTCACACTCACGCCTTGAGGTGGAACAATATTGACGGTGTATATTGCATTAGCCTCACCAACGTTAGTCATCGTCCTCGTATATGTTTGACTAGATGATCCGAACATGATGGAAAATGATGGATAGTTCAGTTGTCCTTCCAATATGCTTGATTCCACTGAGCAATTCACCTTACGCTGTAAAATTATGCTTATATGTCGGTTTGTGTAATTCAAACCACATAGATAAGGAATGTAATCTCGAGGTTCAATGTCATAAATTAGCCCGGGATCATTTGCCTTCGAAGGGTTGACATGGCCAGCTCCGATAGCAAAAATGTTAGCTGGAACGAGCCTCTCGTCTTCAATGAGAGTATCGTTGAGGTTCACAATATCAGCACTAGTCATGATTGCTGACTTAATAGCAGCAGGGGACCAATTGGGGTGTGTGCTCTTGAGCAATGCTGCAATACCACTGAGGTGTGGGCATGACATGGAGGTACCTGAAATTATGTTGAATGTCGATTTTGTATTGGTATTATTTTCTACAGAGATAGGCCATGCAGCAAGAATGTTAACACCAGGGCCTATGATGTCGGGTTTCAAGATACCAGGGCTCTCGCGACTGGGACCTCTGGAAGAAAATGAAGCCATCATAGGAGCATTTTTATCACCAATTACCGTTCCTTTGAACACTATTGTTGCTGTTGGAGTGGATGTCGAATTTATATACGCCAGAATCTTTTGCGTGCCTTCATAATTAACATTTGTAGCTGGAAGAACATGAGAGTTAGCTGCTGTACTAAAGCCTTGGCTCTCTATGTTAAGAAGAATCATAGCTGTGCCACCAGCATTCTTCACTGCTTGTCCTTTGGCAATTCCTGTTGTCCCACCACCTACTTCACAAAGGACTATCTTTCCTTTGACATCCGTATTATTCAATGACCTCGGAGTGCAATATGCTGCGCTAAAATCACTGGTGTTCAATCCAGGGTAAGCAATAGGCAATTGCGTTGGAGGAAAATCTTTAGGCTGAAATGCCGTCTCACCTTCCAGCTCCTCGTTGTTTCCTAGTACAGCAATAGCTCTTAATTTTCTATCAATAGTACTTGCACCAACCGTGAGGATCCATGGGGCTTCGTTTGACAATGAAAAATTCAATGGGCCCCTATTTCCAGCAGAGCAACTCACAAATATTCCCTTTTCCATTGCGCTAAATGCACCAAGTGCAATGTTGTCATCGTAAAAGGGCTTGGACGAACCTCCAAGCGAGAGAGAAAGCACATCAACACCATCATCAATGGCTGAATCCATTGCTGCTAGTATGTCACTCTCGGAACAGCCTGTTGTGCATACTTTGTAAATGGCCAAGTGAGCTAGGGGGGCAACGCCAACTGCAGTGCCATTAGCATTGCCGAACACATTAGCACCTTTCACAAAGTTTCCAGCAGCAGTGCTTGCAGTGTGGGTGCCATGGCCATCCGAATCCAATGGGGTTCCGTTACCATTCAGGAAGTATCTTGCTCCAATGATTTTGTTATTACACGCCGTAAAGTTGAACTCACATTTTCCCTTCCATTTAGTAGGTGGAGGAGGCATTCCTTCGTCATTAAACGATGGATGACTAGGCAGAATTCCAGTGTCTAAAACACCAATAACTACACCTTTACCGTAGCTCGAATCTTTCCAAAGTCCCATGTTTTCATGCAAACCAAGGAAATTTGGAGTATGTGTTGTATGCAAAGAAAATTCTTGTTGTGGACGAGCAGATAAGAAGCCCTTCTTCTTTTCCATTTCTTTAACTTCTTCATACGTCAGTTTAGCAGCAAATCCCGCAAAAACATTGTGGTAAGAATAAACCATCCGGGGTAATTCATTTGAGCTTGTCAAAGTTGTTGGCAAGAATGAATTATACCAGCCTTCTAAATCTTGTGATTGATCATTGAAAAGCTGGCTATCGAGAGATTCGACGTGAATAATATAAGTTTCTAAATTGTTTTGCTCACTTGCAATGGCTGGTTGCACAATAAACATGCTAAAATAAATGAGAATTTGGATTATGAGAGACATTGCTGATATTGCTTTGAGCTTTATTTCAAAAACCCGAGAAGTCTTTAATAAGCTGAAAATGTATTGATGGTTTGTTCTCAAAATATTGAGCTATTATATATAGGTTTTATGCCTTATATTTTAATATTTACTGTCTGTTTCATGAACTCTACCAAGGGTTTTTAAATAAAAAGTCTTCAATGGTTGGCTTCGGGAAAATTAACTGGGACAAGGTCATTCAAAAAGTCAAACTCTATCAGAACAATTCAGTTGCAAATATTGCAAGGGTGCCGCGAACTTATGATAAAATAAGTAACAATTTTTCTAGAAGCAGTCTATGAGTACAAGAAAAATGTACAGAAAATACACTTAACACGTTTTCATTGGAAAGAAAAAAAAAGGACCATATTACAAGTACATAACTGATGAGGAAAAAATATTGATAGNATGGATGACTAGGCAGAATTCCAGTGTCTAAAACACCAATAACTACACCTTTACCGTAGCTCGAATCTTTCCAAAGTCCCATGTTTTCATGCAAACCAAGGAAATTTGGAGTATGTGTTGTATGCAAAGAAAATTCTTGTTGTGGACGAGCAGATAAGAAGCCCTTCTTCTTTTCCATTTCTTTAACTTCTTCATACGTCAGTTTAGCAGCAAATCCCGCAAAAACATTGTGGTAAGAATAAACCATCCGGGGTAATTCATTTGTGCTTGTCAAAGTTGTTGGCAAGAATGAATTATACCAGCCTTCTAAATCTTGTGATTGATCATTGAAAAGCTGGCTATCGAGAGATTCGACGTGAATAATATAAGTTTCTAAATTGTTTTGCTCACTTGCAATGGCTGGTTTCACAATAAACATGCTAAAATAAATGAGAATTTGGATTAGGAGAGACATTGCTGATATTGCTTTGAGCTTTATTTCAAAAACCCGAGAAGTCTTTAATAAGCTGAAAATGTATTGATGGTTTGTTCTCAAAATATTGAGCTATTATATATAGGTTTTATGCCTTATATTTTAATATTTACTGTCTGTTTCATGAACTCTTCCAAGGGTTTTTAAATAAAAAGTCTTCAATGGTTGGCTTCAGGAAAATTAACTGGGACAAGGTCATTCAAAAAGTCAAACTCTATCAGAACAATTCAGTTGCAAATATTGCAAGGGTACCGCGAACTTATGATAAAATAAGTAACAAGTTTTCTAGAACCAGTCTACGAGTACAAGAAAAATGTACAGAAAATACACTTGACACGTTTTCATTGGAAGGAAAAAAAAGGACCATATTACAAGTACATAACCATTTACATAATATATTACATAATTGATATGTGGCGCGCATCCATCGATAGTCTACAATTTTTTACTTTTCCACACTTCACATTCACAGTCTGACTTCTTCCACATGGGCATATGTAATTTATTATGTACATATAGATTTATCCAAAAAAAAAAAATGACAAACATACGAATAGGGTGCTACCACTTCAGTACCCTTTTTTTTTTTTGCCAAGAATCTCGTACCTGCAGCTTTTCTCATTTTTCTAATAGAACGGGACAACTCTGACTTGAACAAGTCAATAGAGAGCTCATCCAATAATTTTGCTAGAAAAGGACCATTTCCTTTTATTGATAAGACAAGAAAAGTTCAGATTCTTAAAGCTTAAGATTACTTCCGGTTATAACTAGGATTTAATAGTTAAATATTTCAAAATAATTCAAAATGACAGCAATTTATTATACTAAAATAATCAGCTTTAGAACTGGTCCATCTTATGCAATGTTTTACAGTAACTTTGACATGCTGGTTAGTCCCTGAAACAATCCCATTATCCCATGCTGGTTAGTCCCTGAAGTTTAAAATATCAATATTTAGTCACAGAATTTTCTGCCTGTAGGACCTGTGTGCTTGATCGGCTCATTGCAAACACGAAGTTTGTCTCTACATTAGTCCAATTGTCCAATCCTATACAATCCTTATCGGTCTTAATTTTATCTGTGACTTTATCTTTTCTCCTAGACTCACTTCTTTAATCGACTGACTGCGAATGTTAACTATCCATCCTACGCTCCTAGGACATGTTGTTGGTTCTTGACAATACCCCGCGGACCAAATCACCTTACATACTTTCTCTTTCATGCCCCACTAAACGTGCTCATATTCACCTGATTGAGTCGATTTTCATTCCAATCCCCAAACAAACCCCTTTGCAATTCACAGAAGCCCAAATGAAGTTTCAGTATTTTATATTATTGCCCCTAATTTTTTTTTTTGGATTTTGCAAGATGGTCATTGCATTTTATGGATACATCGTGTTGGTCACATTTTTTTCCTAAAATCTACAATTCTGTACCTATAGTTTCTGGTTGTGTAAATGAATCCCTGAAGTTTCTGTTTGATGCAAAGCAGTCCTGAATAATGGTGAATAATACTTTTTATAGATAAATTAGGCCCTCCCTAGATCCGAGTATTGACTCTACCACTATGTGTAAGAATTTGGACTAATCTTTTTGATAATTTTTAGTTTTTAAGATGGAAGTTCAAATTCAGAACGTAGAACTTGAAATTTAGCCCTAATTAATATAAAAATCAATTTTTTAGCAGATTTCGATAAAAGCTGACGAGAATGAGATGCATGGTTGAAAAGTTATGGATATCATGAAATGTGTAGTTAAATTAATTGTCGACTTTGATTTAAATTTTAATCAAAATCTTAAGCTGAGCCCAACATGAGCTTTGTTAGACTTCTTTATTTTTGCTATTATGTAACACCTGAAATGTAGTGGATGCATTACAAGGACCGAATGCATCATAAGTACGTATGCCCCCAACAAATCTTTTCAACATCTGATCAATTATGGATAGCAAAAAGTGATATTTCCTTTTAGAATCGTTGAGCTTGCGATGATCAAATACAAAACATCCATTATGTGACTTTCTTGGCTAAAATGAACTTATTGTTTTCATTCTTCTTCACGGCTATTGCTCCCTTTTGCACCACGTGAACCGAACTATTCCACCGACTATCTGAGATAGGATATAATGTAAGAGCTTCAAAACCTCTACTCTTACCACATATTCAGATTCAGATTTAGCCTATGCTAGTTCTCAACCGAAGGCTTGTCTCGTCTTCTATCAAAATTTTATGATGCAAACAGACGAACTAATAGTCCAACCCAATGCTGTTTTGTATTGTTGGATATTATTCAAATTAACAATGAGGAGTGATTTTGGAAGTGATGGAAGTGGTTAACCATGAGAGAAATAAGCGATAACAAAACGAGAACAAAAAATGGTGAAGACCGAAAAATGGCATGGGCGATTGCTCGACCTTGTGTTGCAATCACAATGGCCATATTGTTGAACTGGATGGATGCTCGGGCCGCCCCATACAAAAAATTGTTCGTTGGGGTTTTAAATTCTAGTGTTGTTTTGAAGGGTTTCACACCCTTTGCCTTTTGGCTTGATTTTTGCACATTTTTGTGCATGGTGATTGTAATTCTATATATATGAGTGATTTTCATGATTGAAAATATATCACAAACATCAAATTGATTCCCTTACATCCAAAATCTAAGATCAAACCCAAGTTTTTATAATTTTGTTCTTTAGTTCATTTTTCTAAGTTTTGTTTGCTTGACTCAAACTTAGATTAATGTTTGTTTACTACTACAAACTATTTTCCATAAAAGCCTTCAAGTAGTTACCCCGATGTCGGCAAATATAATTTAAGGACAGCAATTTATAATCATATTCAAACCTTCCATTTTGGCGATTTCTTGTTGCTAGTTTTATTTTCGTTCTTCATCAACTGTTTTCAACAATCTCAAACGATACTTTCAACACGGAGAATGAAACAATCATGGCTACCATAAAGATGATGAATCGAGACCTTGTGAGATTTGACAGATTCGACATGTCGAACTTTACAAGATGAAAGGACAAATTGAAGTTTCTTCTTACAATTTTGAAGATCTTTTATATCTTGGATTTAGACTTGGCTCCATTGTCGGAGCCAACCTCAAATGACACCAATGAAACAAGGCTGGAAAGGAAGAAAAGAGAAGAAGTTGAATTGATATGTAGACCACACATTCTAAACGCTCTATCCGATCGACTTTATGATCTCTATACAAATAACACATCAACAAACGAGATATGAGAATCATTGGAAACCAAATATAAGGTCGAGGAGGAAGGTACCAAAAAGTTTCTTATTTCCAAGTATTTTGATTTCAAATTTTTAAATAACTTGCCTTTGTTAGGACAAGTCCATAAGTTGCAAATCATTGTCAATAAAATGAAAGTCGTGAAGATAGATCTTCCCGAACCTTTGGTGCAATCGGTGCGAACTGGTCATCTTCATGGAAGAGTTATAGGAAGAAGATTCTTTAAAGTTCCCAAGATTATTCTTTGGAAGATAATCAAAAGCATCTTCACATAGATGAAGAGTCAAGGTACGAGATGATAATGAATATTCTCATGATGACACTTCCAAAGCCCTTGCCATGGATCAACCAAACAAATACAATAAGGATTTCAAGAAGAGAAAATCCTCAAACCCTAACAAAGATAACAAGAATAAGAAGAAATTCAAAGTTTCTTGTTATGTATGGGGCAAACTTGGACATTTTCCTAGGGATTGTAGACATTGCAAACAACCAACGCAAGAAAGAAAAGTGAATTTCGTTGACAACATCATTGCTGCTGTGAGCATTGTAAATTCAATCAAAGGAAATGTTCAAGGATGGTGGTATGATACTTGTGCCACCATAAATGTGTGCTATGATAGATCCCTTTCCAAACTCTATCAAGTAGATGACAAACACATTCAAATGTGAAATGAAGTTCAATCAAAGGTTGTTGGCAAATGAAGCATAGACTTACAATATACATCTCACAAAAAGATTACATTAATAAATGTATTACGAGTACCTGATATGAATAGAAATCTTGTAAGTGGTGATTTGTTGAGAAAATCGAGAATAAAGTCCACATATGAGTTGGTCAAACTTATATTTTTCAGAATGGTGTTTTTGTTGGAAAATGTTATTCTAATGATGAAATTGTCAAACTTTGTACTACAATAATATTCATAAAACTACACATTTAAATTATGTTATTGAGTCTATTTCTTTAGACACGATAGACTAGGACATGTTAACTTTTTTACTTTGACAAGAATGATTAAAACTGGAATGATTTCATGTGAAAACATAGAATATAATAAATGTGAATTATGATTAAGAAACTTTTTCATAGTGTTGAAATGAAATCTAATTTGTTAAACTTAATTCATTCCGACATATGTAAATCAAAGGGAATGTAACTAGAGGAAGTAATAGATACTTCATAACATTCATAGATGATCATTCTAGGTTTTCCTATATCTACTTGATGAAATATAAGGATGAAACCTTTAACATGTTTAAGATATACAAAGCCGAAATAGAAAATAAATTAAATAGAAAGATTAAAATTCTTAGAAGTGATATGGGAGGTTAATACTTCTCTAGTGAATTTAATCTTTTTTGGGAACAATATGGTATAATACATCAATGTAGTGGACCTAGAACACCCGAACAAAATGGTTTGACTGAGAAAAAGAATATGAAACTATTTGAAATGATAAGCTCTATATTATTAAGTGCTAAATTGTCATCTAACTTATGGAATGAAACTTTATTAAATGCGTGTCATATAATTAATATAATTCCTTCTAAAAGATTTAAGATTTCTCCTATAAATTATGGAAATAGAGAAACCCAAACATTGGTTATTTCAAAGTGTGGGGTGTCTTGTTTATAGTAAGAACACGGATTCTCAAGGGACTAAGTTGAGTCCTAGAGGGATCAAATACGTTTTTGTAGGATAAGCCCAAAATAGCAAGGTATATTGT